TATATATCTATCTATCTATCTAACATTGTATCGGGTTCGACTAGCACTATTATAAAATTCTAAATAAACTATTAAAGTTTATGAATATTTGTTTAAGTTCGACTGAATTCAATCTAAACCATTATTTTTCTCTTATTTATCTTTACAGATAGCGCTACCTATGTCGGTAACATTTTGAAAATCAAATCGGTTAAGAAAGAAGATCGTGGTACTTACTATTGTGTAGCTGATAATGGTGTCTCTGTGGGCGATCGTCGTAATATCAATTTAGAAGTTGAATTTGCTCCCGTTATTACAGTACCCCCGTCCCCGTTTGGGTCAAGCTTTACAATACGATATGGATTTGGAGTGTCACATTGAAGCCTATCCACCACCAGCCATCGTCTGGATGAAGGATGACATACAATTGTCTAACAATCAACATTACAGCATTTCCCATTTTGCCACTGCCGATGAATATACCGATTCTACTTTACGTGTCATTACTATTGAGAAACGTCAATATGGTGATTATGTCTGCAAGGCTGTTAATAAATTGGGTGAAGCTCAGGCACGTGTTAATCTTTTTGAGACTGTCATACCGGTATGTCCTCCCGCCTGTGGTCAAGCATATTATGGTGATGCTGAACGTGTGGCTGCCACTTCTCTGGCAACATTAGCTATTCTATTGACAGCTTTATACGCCAGATAAACGATTTTAGTTTAGTTCTTTCCTGAAAATGTAGCCAGTGATTAAAATTAGCAGCATTTAAAAAGGATAACTAAATATATATATATTTAAACCACAAAACAAGTGATTGATTAACAGAAAAAAAATAACATAGTTTATGTAAAATTTTCTTATCTAAAGAAAATTTAGCATAAAACTCTTAAACATTCCAAAATAAAACAAAAAAATCCTTATTTTCTTAAATACCTAAAATTAGGATTCGTTTTTTTTCTATTTTCATACGTCCATTTTTTTAAGTTATGAAACTAAACGTAAAAAGTTTTTACTAAAATAAAAACGTATAATTAACCCTTAACCCGTCCGTTAATAAATACAAATCTTAAACAAAAACAAATGGACCCAATTTTTTCAAAATTTTACGATTTATAAAGAGAATCTCTTTAATTGTTTATATCAACAACAATTTTAAAGAAAAATTAATTATTATTTAAACAAAATCTTCCCATTTAGTAGTTATAACTTAAAAAAAAGAAAATATTTTATATTTATTAAATAATTTATAAAATATTTTCATTTCTAATTATTTTAATTATTATTTTTTGTTTTATAACATAAGACTTTAGTAATGTAAATTTTCCATTTTTTTCTATAAAATCATAAAAATAAAAAACAACAACATTAATGTCAATTATTGTAACTGATATTTTCTCACTCCCTTACTCTTTTGTAGTTTTAAGTACAAAAAAAAACGAAACTCTTTAAACAAACATTACATATAAAATATTCTATTAAAATTATTTCGTATAAATATAAAAAAAGTAATATTTTAAATAAAACTAAATGTATATGTATGTGTAGTTTTTATATAAAAAAAAATTAATTAAAATATTAATAAAAAATTAAATCGTAAGTTTACAAAAAAAAAAACATTTTTGAGACCCATACCAATTTATTGAAAACTGGGTGTAAATATTACTAAAAGAAAGCAATTTTTGAAATAAAATAAAATGTGTATGCCTCAATTTTATACAAAAAATTATTTTAAATAAAATTACAAAAAAAAATATATATATAAAAAATTGTTGATTTTTTTAGGTTAAAAAGGATTTGCATAATTATTTGATAAATTTAAGTTTGTATTGAGAAAAAAAACTATTTTATCAGTTAGGAAGGATGCTATTGGTTTAAATTCGTTCCATTTACTTTTATATAGATTCACGATTTCGAACGAATAACTGCGATATTAAGATAATTGCTTTACACATGCAAAGTACATTCTAGTATTGGGGATTGCAACCAGATATTGTAAATTGGATTTACAGATCGGTCGTTAGGTGTATTCTAACTTCTGGTTGTATAGTCTGGTGGTAGGCTTTAAGAACAGTTATCGGAAGACAACTTCAATAAAACTCTTGTCATTACTAGTGCCATTAGTAGTACTCCACATGCGGCTTATGATATCATTCTTTACCTTTGGTTAAGGGTCTGGTGATTAGGAGTTTCGTATTTCTGTACGAAGTTTACTTAGAATTACGACTTTAGACTTCGAGCAAATATGTCAAATGGAATTTGACGATTGGTTTGTATTCGATAGACTGTTTAATGGGTATGCAGTTTTCACTGACGAGTCCAAGATGGATACCGACACTGGTTCCGTTGACATCATAGCGATCTGGAAAGCCACGTAACTGATATGGAATCATATCGACTTGGGGTCGGTTGTGATAATTTATGTCTATAGTCAAGCTGCTCTAAGAGCGTACGTTACATTTGTGACTGATTGTAGAAATGAAAAGCAATACTCTTAGGGACATTATGAGACTCTGCTATTGGACTGCACTGCAAGACCTTTTGGCCAAGACTTGATGTTACGACTACCAAAATACTGGACTATAGATGAGCGCAGTTTAAGGATTCTGATAGGGATGCTAACGAAGCATTGCTCAATTAGAGCCTTTGTCAGTAAGTGGGACAGTTGCCCACGCATAACCGGACTATTGCCGGTTATGCGAGGATACTATTTTTCATTATCCTAGAATACAGAATCTCAGTTTGAAATGGCTGTAAAATAGGTTCTATGATGAACGGGGGAAAATTTGGGCACCTGCAAGGTTTTATCATTAGAATTAGTAATTTCTTCAACTGGTTTTTATAGGGGGACTCAATTTCTTTTATATATCTAGGGCCTTATTCATAACAATTTATCAAAGGTTTATACAACAGTTTTCCATACAAAATTTGTTCTATAAAGCTTTGATAACTTATTGTGAATAAAGCAACTATGGTTTTGTATCTCTATCTCTGCATCTTCACTTTTTACGAAGGGAATCACATGGTCCCCGAGTGAGGTTGCACTCTTGAATGGTGCATAACCCTTCTTAACCTAAACACAACAAAAAGTCTCTTTCCCCAAATATACTTAATATAATAGAAATTATTAAAAATATATGGGCAATTTCGTGTCAAGTGACCCAACTTTTAAAATCGATGTCTTCCAATTTTCATGGAATTTACACCAAGGTTAGTAATATTGGATAGTAGAAACATAAAACCCTGTAGGACCTAAGTCCGGCAGTTCTTGACCGATAGAGCTGAAAATGTGTTTCTGGACTACTATCCAATAGTACTAACCTTGGTGCAAATTTCATCAAAATTGATTTTTTGAGTTAGGTCAAAAAACTATTTTAAAATACGGTTTACAACTCAATTCTACTAAAGTTAAAATTTATTGCAACTTAAAAAAAAGATACAACTCAACATTAGCAATAGTTTTAAATAAATTGTTAGGAAACAATAATTTAAAAAAACATGAACAATTTAGTCGCTGTTTAATACAGCGGTTCCCACCGATTTTTACTTCGCGGACCCCTTGAAGAACTTATTTAATTTCGCGGACCCCCATACATATTTTGATATCTTATTGTTCTAAATAATTGTCCATCCGAAAATTGACCTAGTTCATTAATTCCTAGGTCTAATAAATGTAGAGATGTCATATCTATAAAATATTCCCGTACATTTAGAATATATAATATTTCAGATAGGTTTTCAATTGCATGTTTTGAAAATAGAATGACTTCTTTGTTGATATGTTAACATGATGTTTAATTTTATGATCGTGAGATCTTTCATGTTAATTTTTCTGCAAGGTAGCGAAAAGGTTTCTTTATCAAATATTGTCACATGTGCTTAAGGAGTCACGTTTCAAAAATTTGTTGCGATTGCAAAGGGTGAACTGAGTAAGTGAGCTAAGTTTTCGGGAAAATAATATAAGAAAGTTGGACTTCTTCTATGTTGTTGCGGAATGCGTTATCCGCATAATATATGATTTGAACTCTTTATTAAAGTACTGTGAATTTGGATCTTAAATTTGAATTTTAAAATACCAACGAATTATTTTACTTCATTTTTTTTGGCTACATATTTACGCGAAACGCCATGGATTTTCTGATGTTAATTTAATAATATGTATTGGTCGACAAAATCAAGTTAAAATCTGTGTATCACGGATTGGAATATTTATAAAAAGATGCATAAAGAGTCACCTCTGTTTTGGAAATATATAATTTTAGTCCTTTCAAACAAGAACACTTTTGCTTACAATTTGATAAACTTAAATCTGTAATAAGCGTGTCTTTGAATTCAACTTCATACTCCGGAATACCAGTATCCCTAATTTAATTGTAAGGCAGAGTATTATTTGTCTGAAATAAAAACCATTATTTCAGTACATATACAGGAAATAAAAATTACAAATCACGCAATACTTTACTTTATAAAAGTTATACAATAAATTTGTAGGGCCTAGCTTCTTCCTGATAAACAACCGAAAAAATAAAATTCAAAAAGTCACCAAAAAATTTGGGATTATTGCACAAAAATTGGAGATATTTGTACATACATATAAAAGCAGAATATTGTTTATTCATGGTTTTTTTCGTTCGTCTTCGCGGACCCCCTAGGATTTTACTACGGACCACTAGGGGTCCGCGGACCCCCATTTGGGAACCGTTGGTTTAATACATCGTAACATATGTATATAAATTTTATTATTTATTACCGGAAAAATACAATTTAAAAAACTTTTCGCTTAAATTTATTATTTAATTTTTGACATCACCTGCTTACTCATCGATCAATTCGTCACAGGCAACATCAATACAATTCCAACTAAAATTTGTAATACTCATTACCAAAAAATTTTAGTTGTGTTAGAGGTAAGTTGTGTTGTAAACCGTAATAGGGACATAGATTTCATTTATTAAATTTGTTTTAATATTTTCATTTACCATAAATATTGCGTTCACTCAACAACAATCACTAATTCAACGCGTTACAATTTAAAATACATTTTAAACTTTTTTCTTTTTATTCATTTCTACCCGCTGTATTAACAGCTAAAATCGCCATCATTTTTGCACACATCAAATCATGCTCCAAATCGTGCTCTTGCGTTGTTTGAGTCTCTGTAATATATGAAAAAAATTTATTTAAATAACACACATAGGCATTATAAAAAAAAATATCAAATAATATTTAAACTAACATTATAAACTAATTCCAATCAATGTCTTTTTTCTCTCCTTACAAAGGGGACTGAGGTTTTCGTTATTAAATATCTTAAAAAAAATGCCGCTCAACAAAACATACAAACGTAAACATTCCCTTAAAATTAGCATGCCAATTGTACCACTTCAAATATAAATAATTTACTTAATGGAATTTCCAGTTGTGGCCATACGAATATACATGAGCAGTTCAGCTTCATAATCAGCATATGATTGATTGTTGAACAATTTTGTTGAGGGTATAAAGTGGCGTAGAGGATTTTCAATTAAGAAATCATAAGTTTTTGTCAATTTCTGTAGACAACGCAATGAATTTATGGAACAAACATCAATTTTGTCTAATATTTCAATAATACGATCATGCTGCTGTTTAGCGCGTACTTTAAAGGCTTGTAAATCAACTGAAATGGAAAGCAATCAAATGAATTGTAATTAGCAATATAGAAAAATTATACAAAATGTCTAGCGGTTAAATTAGTTGTATGGCAATATAAATAGTAGGAATATAATTTAAATACTATACCCAAAAATGTGTCCAAATTTATTTTCAAATCATTTGAATGTTGTGCAATTAAATCCGCCCACAAAATACGATTACGAACTTCCTGTAAAGCACCAAAGGGTGTTAATAAAATGCCCGGAGCTAGCTGGATTGTCGAAGTGAGTTCACGTGATTCAATTATTAAGGGATTGGGTGATAAATAAAATGCACTATTGGTAGAGGGAGAAAAAATAGATAAAATACAAAATTTTATAAATACATAAAACAAAATGGTGTTTTCACAAGTAAATAACAACCAAAAATACCAAACAAAATATGTATGTAAGTTTTTTCTATATTTACCATTCTTTGCTTATACAAGACAAATGCTCCAATGATAAGTCACAAAATGCATTCAATTCCATAGTATGGGGAGTCAATATTTTATTTTGAGCCTGAGGCATTAATGTAACATCACCAGCTCCAAATGTTCGACGTAACGTTGAATTATTCAAGGGGGAAATAGTAGAATCAAAATCTAATTTTGTACTACAGAAAACATTGTCGTTAGTCATCTCAAAACTGTCAACGCCCAATAGGGAATGATTATTGTTTAGTTTTAACTTGGTGGGTATGAAACTTGATTTAACATTAGTGGTGGCTTCTAAATCATCCAGTTGAAGTTTCATAATATTTTTCGAATAAATAATTTTGTCTTTTATTTGTGACAGTTGCATCATATCATATTGTAAACGATTAACAGAAGTACTTATTTCATCGTAAACTTGTTTTATAGAGCCAAGAAGAAACTATAAAAAGGATAAAGTACAATAAATCTCAAATATTCATTTTATTTCAATTTCCTACTTACATCATGATTATCCAGATGTTTATTTGAGTTATCTATTTCCGCTTTTAGCATTTCAATCTGTTGTGCTATATATTCATTTTGACCCTTGGTAAAATTCAATGAATAGTATTGTATAACATAATTACGCATAATGGCTTCATTTTGTTCCGAATCTGTATCAGCATTAAATATTTTGACTTTTTCTAAAAGTTTATCTTCAAATTCGCTAAATGCTTTAACATATTGCTCTTCCAAACGTTTACGTTCTTGACATGCCGACAAATATTCACCCACACGACTTAAAAATTTCGATTTTGTTTTCATCAAATTCAATTCAAAATTCGTTAAAGATTCACGATTATTGGTGGCGCTGGCTAAATGCGACTCATTCGTGGCAGTTTTATTTAAAGACATTATATATTGCAATTGATCTTCTTTTAGGCGCATAATGGCATTAAAAATGAGAAAGACTGGTATATTGGATAAGATTTTACGCAATTTGGTCCATAAATTGTTTTTAGCTTCTTGTAATTCGGAGGCTATAGTGAAAATATAAAAAGTTATTTAGAAAATTATGCTGTTTCTCTTTCAAAACTTACCTTTAGTATTATTTTCACAAAATGTATAAAAATCTTCCAGTTCTTTGAGAGCTTCATTTACTGCCTCGCTTGCTTTACTTTCACTTTTATTCTCATTGCTTAATATGACTGGCATTGTAGCTTTTATCTTTTCCCTATTCTCTTCTTCTCTTTCGATTTCTTTATCTAAGGCTTTAGACTTAAGATCCAAGATATGTACTTTTGCCTCCAAAATATCGCATTTATTTTCCAAATTTATTTCATGTATATCTTTTATTAAGTAATTGCAAAACAAAAATATTTGAGAATCTTATTAAACTGATGAAAATAAACTTACTTTTAGTTTTAATGGTGGCGGCCAGCGCTTCATATTCCTTTTTGCGTTCATCAAAACGTTGCAATAAATCTTTTTGCTTCTTTTTTAGATCCTGGACCTTAAGATGCATTTGCATTTCTCGTGGTAGAAATGCACGCTCAGAGATCGGAAAGGAAAGGAGGGGGAGGAAAAAAAGAAAGAAGGAGAAACAGAAGGGAGCGAGAGAGCGAGGGAGGGAGCGAGCGAGCGAGCGAGCGAGCGAGCGAGCGAGCGAGGGAGCGAGGGAGGGAGCCAGCGAGGAGGGAGGGAGCCAGCGAGCGAGCGAGGCGAGAGCGAGAGCGAGCGAGCGAGCGAGCGAGCTAGCGAGCGATAGCAGCGAGCGAGCGAGCTAGCGAGCGAGGAGCGATCGGGCGAGCTGAGAGCGAGCGAGCAGACGAGCTAGCGATAGAGCGAGCTAGAGAGAGCGATCTATATATATCTATCTAGATATATCATCTATATAGATCTATCAGCTATCTATCTATCTATCTATCTAATCTATCTATTATCTATCTATCTATCTATCTATCTATCTATCTATCTATCTATCTATCTATCAATGATTAGTTGTTGTTCTTGTAACAGGTTGGCTGTAACTGGATGTTCTTCCCTGGAGAAAAACTTCCGGTTGATACAGCT